ACGGAGGTTTTGATTGACTGCGTCAAACACAGAAGTCAAGTAGCGAATGGCGCAGCCCAGTTGCGCGATGCTCATTTCGATGCGGACGCGCGCAATCTGGTAGCTGACAGATGTCACTTTTCCGTACCCATAGCCGTCTTGCGCAAAAAGGGAGACGGCTGCGACAGCACGTATAATATTGAGCAGCAGGCTCAACTCGTACCAGTAGCTGTTGCTGTGAACATTCACCTGCAAATTGCTCAGAATCTTCTGAAGCCGGCTCAACTGATCCGCCTTCCTGATGAGGTTGGAGGTGATGAGAGCATTGGCCGCAAGAGCGAGATAGGTGGTGAAGTGCCCCAGCCAGACCACTGTGGTCTCCAAAGGGGAGAACTTCAAAAAGAAGTGCATGCTGACGCCTCTGGCCACTAGCAGCGCCACTGTGTAGAAAATGAGGGCATTCCTGTAGAGGGCGCTGCCTTTGGACTTGGAACCGGAACCCTCTAAAGGGCGCAAGAAGAGGAGGGAGTCGGCTAAGAACCTCACGTATACCCGAACGCGCTGCATGGCTTTGAGGGTTTGTTTAGGTTTGGTTCAATTAGATTGAGGGCTCGTTAGCGCGATTATCATCAGTCATCCATCAGGGTGAATAATATGAGTAATGAGGTGAATACAGGGTGGTTTTTAAGGGTGGGGACTTAGTGGAGATGGAAATTCGGCTGGATTGGGCATTTTTCGTTTTGACACTTTTCCCCCCTTTATTGGCCAATAACCAATAGAATTGTTGCGGAATATTTTCAAGTTTTGCAGTGAAAATATGTTTAAATTTTTTTTTTAATGCAATGATGGTGTTTTCAATCGAAATCTCGCAAATGTTTGCATGCTTTTTCGTTCGAACGAAAAAGCATGCGAACATTTGTATACATATCTCTTAAACGGTTGCAAATTGCTAAGTAGCCATAAGAACCGTTTAGATAGCACGTATTGAGAGCTATCTTTCGAATCTTTCGTTCGAACGAAAAAGCATGCAAACATTTGCGAGATTTCGATTGAAAACACCATCATTGCATTAAAAAAAAATGTTAAACATATTTTCACTGCTAAACTTGAAAATATTCCGCAACAATTCTAGTGGTTATTGACCAATAAATGCTAAGCTTGAAAAGATATGACCGGTTGACCAGTTAAAGCCACAGAGTGTCCAAAAAATGTTGATAAAACCTGCACGGTATGGCGGTAATGACAAATCGGTTTTTTGTCTGCTTATGCCACGAACCTCCTAAAATCGAGTCTACATGTTTGTTAATCGGCCCCAAACCGAGCACCAGGGCCGATTTAGAGCGATAAATCCCCCGAATAAACCCCCGCAACATTGATTTTATCCCACAATTAAATTTAATCGGGTTTCGGGCTGGATCAGATGGGAATTTTCTGAATTTACATGATTTTACTATGCGAGAGTCGTTTTGCAAGAGTGACGAAACTGAGCCCAATTTGGCAACAGTTTAGTTTTTTGCCCCCGGAATGTTCAACTGTTAGTTTAATCAAACTAAACGCAGCTAATTTGATTATTAAATATTCCAGCGGATTACGCTCCTGGGGATTAATATTTTATATCCCCGTTTATGGAGTTATCTGCTTGAAACAATATTTATTAGCGATAATTGCAATAACGCATTCAATAAATCCCAAAAGGGAAATGGAAAATTGCTGCTGGAAAATCCACGCATTTTTTCTGTTTTCAATTAATTTCCTTCAGTTTGATGCGATCTTATTCGCCAGATTCGATGCAACAACGCCAAACCAATTAAAATTCCCAACGGCATTTCCACACGGGAAATGCATTAAGCATGCTTATAAAACAAATGAAATTCATAAATATTTCATCAATTTGCCTCTTGCAGATTCCGTCGCTATTTATATTTGGATCTGCATAAAATTCATTTCAGAAATCGAGATGGGCTTTAATGGACAAATGCGCTCGTTGTTTGCTTTGGACTGGCATTCTCCATCATGCAGAACAGCAAAATGGGCCATTTCATCCAAAAAATGTGTGCAATTAATCCCGGCCCGAAGGGCCTTCATTGGGGGTTGCCGTAAAAACGCGAAACCGGCTCGGACAGGATGCACCACATACCCAACTTAACCGCCCGAAGGCTTAAGGAAGTGAAACTCTTTAATAAATGCGGCTTTATTCAATTAAACATGCTTATCGTTTAGTATCACAGTCTAGTCGGTACGCCCTCTGCCAAATCCACCTGGAACAATAGAGAAAGAAAATTGGTTACAAACTGGGAGCAGTGTATTTTGGAAGGTGAGCGTTCGACATCGGTGAACATCGCCTGGGTTTCTAACTATGAGCGGGAGAAAGACGGACATACCCCGACCAGCCCGGTGTGCCGGACTAAATAAACTGCCGCTCGACTGAAGTGTTCGAAGTAAATTGAAATGACTTCAAGAAAAATACTAATGGAGTTTACCTAAATAAGTGCTCTAGAGTTAATGGTCCAGACAAGCCCAATAATGGGAAAAACCTGCGCAGGAAAGTGGGCTTCTGCAGCACCTGAAAATGAGTTAGTCATCAACTAGCAGGCAACTTTTCCTGGATCAATTCGCGATTTACTGTTCGAGCTGGTCTCCATTAGAAGCACTGAGGCAGGCTGAGGAGTATCGGGCCTCACTTGCACCTCCACGCTCTTTGCGTGGTAGAGCTTGAACAAGGAGGCTTCGCATGTGATTCGGAGCGGATCCCAACTCCCTCCCACTCCAGTCAGCTCCAGTCGGGCGCTCTTTTGATCCAGCTGGTCGCTGCCACTGGTAGTCCATTCCGAAGTGTAGCCTGGAACCTAAAAATCGCATCTAATTGCATTCATCCAGCCAATCTAAACTGGAAAATGTCGTGTTTCGATTGCCGCGCTCGAACGCAAAGTAGTTTGTCAGCGTCTGGATGGATAATCGAAAACTTCTTACCTTTTCATCGTTCACAAAGAAGGTAATATTGGCAGCTGGATGGGAGGGCGGGGCATGACAGTCGGCTATAAGCGGTCTGCCCTGTTCCAGCCCGGTTTTATCCACGGTGACTAATGGAACTCCTGCAGGCACGACTGGAAAGGAATATCCAGGGTTTGTATGGGGGGTGACAGTTTCATTTAGCGTCAGTCTAATCGGGGACTCAGCTGCTATCAGCTGGGTATCGGCGACGAGACAAAGGTGATTTAGAGTGTGGAAATGGAAGATTCTTCTGACAAATTCATTCAGCTCAAATTCGTTGTGTTTGTCTGAACTGGATCGCAAAAGAAACGAAAAAAACCTCGTGTTTCCAGGCGTATGTAATTGGTCCAAAACTGCTGGGCCAAATCAGTTCAAAGTTGTCACTCTGGAAAAATGAGTGTTTTTGTATGCAGATTTGCAATAATGTTGCAGATATCTGCTCCGAGTGTTTGGCACAAACAGCTGAAGAACCAACGACGCTCTTAACTAGTTTCCTAAGTCCCAGGCTTAAGTAAGACTAAAGCGTCCCATGAAAACTATTTAAATTCCCAACACTCTTAGAACAGGGCTTTGTTTATCGAACATACAAATTAGTAGGTTGATGCTTCAGATGAGTGCTCAGAAACACCGTTTCAAGGACAGTGGTGCAGAAATGAGCAACTGAGAAAAATATTCCCCAAGTTCCTAGCTTCAGCAAAACGAAAGGGTCCCATAAACTGTATTTAAATTTCCAACACTCTTAGAACAGGGCTTCGCTTATCGAACGCAGTAATCATTAGGGTCGAACTATATCTGAGTGCTCAGAAACAGGGTTTCGGGGATACTGGTTCAGAAATGGCCAAATTCCAAAAATGTTCCCCAAGTTCCAGGCTTCGCTCAGAAGGCACAGCTCGAAGCACGTCACTCAAATTTCCTCCACTTATAACACAAAGCTTTGCCAATTGAAAACTAGATTTCCTGTGCTGATATCTCATCTGAGAGCTTAAAAACAGCACTTGGAAAGGCAAAGTGCTAAAATACTAAAAAGATACCCAAGTTTGAGATTCGAGTAAAACGCAACTTTTTGATAAAATTCATGGAAATTTGCCACATTTATATAGCGAAGCTTCGGCTATTGAAAACGGAAGCAGCATTTCAATATGGCATTTAGGCKCTCAGAAAAAAAACCGTTCGAAGGACCGCWATCMAAAATKRCAAAGTRCWAAAAAMRTTYCCCAAGTTTCAGGCTTCAGTAAAACGAAAGTATCGCATTAAATTTAYTTAAATTTCCRYAAMTCTTAGRACCAACTATTGTTTATCAAMAGCAGTAAWCACYAMGATCGAACTATATCTGAGGGCTCAGAAACAGGGTTTYGAGGACAGTGGTGCAGAAATGGYCAAATGRYMAAAATGTTCCTCAAGTTCCAGGCCTGRCTCAGAAGGCACAGCTCGAAGWACGCCACTCAAATTTCCTCCRCTTATAACACARAGMTTTGCCTAKTGAAAACTAGATTTCCTGTGCTGATAYCTYATCTGAGTGYTTARAARCAGCACTTGRAAAGRMGAAGTGCTAAAATGGGAAAATACTAAAAAGWTWYCCAARTTTGAGRTTCRAGTAWWACGYAACTTTTTRATGAAATTCATGGAAATTTRCCACATTKATAYAGCGAAGCTTCGGCTATTGAAAATGGWAGCAGMATTTCAATATGGYATTTAGGCKCTCAGAAAAAAAMTCGTTCRAAGAACCGCTAACAACAATGGCAAAGTGCTAAAAAAGTTYCCCAAGTTTCAGGCTTCAGTAAAACGAAAGTATCGCTTTAAATTTACTTAAATTTCTACAACTCTTAGAACTAACTATTGTTTATCAAAATCAGTAATCACTAGGATCGAACTATATCTGAGGGCTCAGAAACAGGGTTTTGAGGACAGTGGTGCAGAAATGGTCAAATGGCAAAAATGTTCCTCAAGTTCCAGGCCTAGCTCAGAAGGCACAGCTCGTGAAACGTCACTCAAACTTCCTGCACTTATTACGCAAAGCTTTGCCTATTGAAACTAAATTTTCTGTGCTGATACCTCATCTGAGTGATTAGAAGCAGCACTTGAAAAGAAGAAGTACTAAAATGGGAAAATACTAAAAAGTTTCCCAAGTTTGAGAATCAAGTAAAACGCAACTTTTTAATGAAATTCATGGAAATTTGCCACATTTATATAGCGAAGCTTCGGCTGTTGAAAATGGAAGCAGCATTTCAATATGCCATTTAGGCGCTCAGAAAAAAACCGTGCGAAGGACCGCTAAAAATTGCAAAGTGCCCAAAACATTCCCGAAGTTTCAGGCTTCAGTAAAACGAAAGTATCGCATAAAATTTATTTAAATTCCCATAACTCTTAGCATAAGGTTTTGTTTATCCAATGCAGTAATCACAAGGGTCGAACTATATCTGAGTGCTCAGAAACAGGGTTTCAGAGATACTGGTTCAGAAATGGACAAATTGCAAAAATGTTCCCCAAGTTCCAGGCTTAGCTCAGAAGGCACAGCTCGAAGAACGCGACTCAAATTTCCTCCACTTATAACCCAAATCTTTGCCTATGGAAAACTAGATTTCCTGTGCTGATACCTCATCTGAGTGCTTAGAAGCAGCACTTGGAAAGGCGAAGTGCTAAAATGGTAAAATGCTAAAAAGATTCCCAAGTTTGAGATTCGAGTAAAACGCAACTTTTTGATGAAATTTATGGAAATTTGCCACATTTTTGAATGCAAAGCTTCGGCTGTTGAAAATGTAGTCCGGATTTATTAATACGCTCAGAAAAAAGCTCGCAGGACGCCTGTCAAAAATGGCAAGGTGTGAAAAGTATTCTTGAAGTTCCAGATTCAAATGAAAGGAAACCGTTCGGTACAATCCAATGAAATTCTTAGCAGTTATAGCGCCAAGCTATCTCTGGGGAAAATTGTGAGCAGAGTGAGGGTATCTGATGTGAGTGCTCAGCGGTAGCATTTGGAAGGTAGAAGTGCAAAAATGGTAAAAACACCAACATTGTCCTAAAGTTCCTCACTCAATGGAACTGAAACCAATTTAGAAAATCCCTTGAAATTTCTAGATGCTATAAAACTCAACTTTCTTTATCCAATGCTGCGAAAAGTGTGTCGGAATCTGATCTGGTTGCTCAGAAACGACAATTGGAACTAACGAGTGCAAACTGGCTTAATGACCAAAATGTCCGCGATGTTCAAAATTGAATTAAGAAGGAATTCTTTGATGCAACTTAGTCAAGCTTCCAACGCTGCAAAAACGAGGTTTTTCTTATCAAACACTGCAATTCGTGTGTCGATCCTCATCCGGATGCTGAGAAACGGTACTTGGAATGACCGAGTACGGAAGTGGTCAAATGATCAAAATGTGCCCAAAGATCAAAAGTGAATTCAACGCAAACTATTTCATGAAATGTTTTTAAATTTACAGCTGTGACAACTGAAAGCTTCCCCTAACGAAAACTTGCACCGATGCATCGATATTTTAACTGAGTGCTCAGAAATTGGCTTTTGAACAAAGCAGTTCGTGAACGACAAGATTACGGAAAGATTCTCATAGTTCTACAGTGGATTAATCAGAAACCTCTGGACAAAATTGAGTTATGTTCTCATCAGATGTAATCCAGAGTCTCCTTTTGCAACTTCTGAGCCCACATTGGGCGAAACCGCTCAGAAACAGCTTCAACAAGTTCTGAGCCAAACAGTGCACATTGAGGCAATGGAAACTGAAAATCGCATCCAACAATTCACCTCTACAAGCCCTAAATCTCTTATTGAAATCCAAATTGGGGTCGCATCGATCCGGTTTCTTTGCCGCTAGTGGTTTTTCCACCGTTCACACAATTGGATTTCGCCATAAAAATTTCCTGAAAAAGCCTTAAAATAGCAAAAACCTCATTGATTCAACATTTCAATGGACTTTTCCATCGAACAAAACACATCGCTTCTTCTGTTTAGTAGCAAAACGATCAATCGGTTTGAATTCAATTAATCGGCAAAAAATCCCAGAGTTATTAGTCAATGTGGAACATGGCCACTAATAATTATGGACCTCACATGGAGAGCAAATCGCCTTTTCCATGCCTCGTTATACTGTTTAACGGTGGCATCCATTAACACCAGTCCGCAATAACTCTTTGAATTAAGCGGAAGATTTATTGGCTGTGATCAGCCACTCAGTGTGGATCGAAAATTGGGTGGGCGAAGGTTGGAAAATTGACTTTTTAATGCTCTTTCAAATTCAGTCCATCTAGTCTTACCTACAACAGTCATCAAGGCGGACATGGATTGTGTGTGAAACAAAGGGGCATCGGCCGACACTTCGCACTGGAATTGTCCGGATATATCCCGATTAACCGACAGCAACGTGACGCTGTTGGCGTTGGACACTGATATCTGAAACAAAACAACATCATGTTCCAGCCGAATCTCCATTAACTGCCATTGAGCTTGCATGCTCTTCAAATCTGCTCTTTATCATCGGCTTTTAGCATTCGCAACATGCGGAGCATCGAATGGACAATGCGATGGACACGAGTTAAACTATTGCCGAGCATTACCCGCTTTTACTCGTGCTGTGTGTTCAGAAGGAAAAATCCCAAACGAAAAATTAACCCGCGACTATATCCCCATACACTGGCCTTTTTTTTGGACACAGTGTCCTTAATTGTGGAAAAACATTGGGCAAATTTTCACGGATAACCGGCGATTTAGCGCTTATAGGCCTGCGAGTTTGAGTGCAGTTACATTGCGATGGCAAAAACGGGCCTACTATGCGAGCAATCGCGGGCTAATCCGGAAACTTTCAGGCACGGCGTTTGGAATACCAGTGAATTTGAACTAACCCAAATTACTTACGTCCACTTGGAGTCCAGATGTGGTGAACACTCTGGTTGGAGGCTCCTCTTTCGGCACGTACCGGAAGAATTCCTCTTGCTCCCGATACCACTTCACTGAGTATAACTGAGCCTCGTCCAGATCGTATTCGCAGCCCAAAGTGACCGAGTGGCCTGCTCTAACCGCTCTTGGGATGCTCAGTTTTAGGGCTTTCAACCCCAAACTTGTGCAGATATCTGGAAAAATGAGAAAAAAAGAAATGGAAAAATGAGAAACAGTTTTTCCTGCGAAAGTTTGTTCCGTTTGTCCGCGGTTTCTCCTCATTCCAATTCGACGACTGATTTCCAAGAGTTGTTACAAAGGAACTAATGGATGAAATAGATCGATTTTTTTACAGTTGTAGATCTAAGCTCCTTTTATCGACCTCTGCAATCTTCCATAGGTCATTTTTCTGAGCGCTCCGGAAATGCGCGCTCTGCTTAAAGGCTTTGGAGTAAAAACGGCCAAATCTGCTCGAAGGTTCAGGCTTGGTTACGAAGAAACCGGTGGAGAAAATTGAGTCAATTTCCTCAAGCATATAACGCAAAGCTTTCTCCAACGCCAGTGGAAACCCGTAGGTCCATATCTAGTCGCAGGGCTGAGAAGCAGCATGTAGAAAACAGCGCCGCGAAAATGACAAAATGCTCAAAATATCCTCATCGTTCCAAACTCAATTAAGCAGGAACCCTTGGAGGTAACCAAGTAAAATTCTCAAAATTTTTGCCCAAAAGATTCGTTTATTGAGCCTGCAATCTGCGAGTTGCTATCTGTCCTGGGCGCTCAGGAACATCACTTGGAAGACAATAGTGCAAAAGTGGTCAAATGGAAAAATCTTTCAATAGTTCCAGACTTTGTGCAGAAGAAACTGTTCAAAGAAAATAGTTAAAATTGCCTAAACGCATAGCAAAAAGCTTTCTTTGACGAACACTGCGATCCACTTGTCGATTTCTATTCTGAGTGCTCAGAAATGGCATTTGAAATGCAGTGGGGCAACAATGGCAAAACTGGCAAAAATGGCAAAAATTCCCCAGGCTCATAACACAAATCGTCCGCCATCCAAAACAGCAATACATGAGTCAAGATCTCATCTGAGCGCTCAGAAACAGCATTTTAAAAACAGTGGCCAGAAAAGGCAACATCCAGAGAAATCCCCAGAGGAGTTGTTGGGCATTTTATGCAAATAATGATTTGGAATTCCTCCTGAAGCCTGCTCTTACTTCCATTCAGAATGGCAAGCAATATAACAGAGTAAGTTTTCCTTTTTTCTTTAAAACATGGGGAAAATCGGTTAATTCTTTCGGATGTGGGGTTGTTTCGCTGCGCCCAAGGGTAGTTTTTAATGGTGGCGAAATAACGCAGTGAGATCCGGAGAGTAAAATAGATTTTCAATGGGATTTAAGGAAAACCCTATTACAGCTCGCTTGCCGTATAGCCTCTAGTGTGGGAAGAATAAAACGGATTTCCTATAGCTAGACGACTAAGGGGATTTAATTTGGAAACTTTTGCTTTGAAATTGCGTTTTGTTTAAATCCCTGATTTTTTCTGAAATCTGCTCTTCTCCACATCAATAGAGGAGATCTTGATTAATGTTCAGGACAATTGCTTTTTGCCTCGGACTTTTTGCTCAATTTTCGCGGAGTTTTTTAGCTCAGCGCGCGACGTGCAGTTTTCACTGGTGCAATCTTCCATTGAAAAAATCGCTAGTGCCAAACCAAGAGAAGCAGCTCTGTGAAATTTGCTGCATCTATGGACAAGATCCTAGCTAACAACTGACAGAAATTTCCTTTAGCTGGAGCTTTTCGCCAATTTTTGGCAGATTTTTCAAGTTGAGCATAAAAGTGAAGTAGGTATTTGCTGTCGCGCTCTTGAACTAAAAAATCGCTAGTCCGAAACTAACAGAACTAGAGGGGTGAGTTTATCCACATCCAGAAGAACACTAGTTTAGCAACTGGAAAATTCACAATTACCTGGGATTTTTGTCCAATTTTTGGGCAGTTTTTAAAGTTGAACCTGCCAAGTGTCGTACACTCATAAAGCTAGCCAAATAGAAACCCGCACATATAGAGCAAACACAAGAATCAGTTCCAGGACATAATTGCGCTTATCTGAGACTTTTGGTTGATTTTTGGCAAATGTTTATAGCTGCACTTCTCCAATTACAGCAATCATTAAAAAGAATTTTCCTCCCGGAACCCCTGGTAAGTAAAAACCCATTTAGTTCCAACAGTGTGCCAATTAAAAAGAAAACCCTTATTCCAAGCTTAATTAATTAATTGTGAAGCTGACTGTTGACCGTCAATAATCGGAATTTAGTGTAAAAATAATTAGTTTTCCAGCAGCTTAATGCAGTTTTGCCACATGGAAAAACACGAGCAAAACAGTCCAAACAGCTTCGTTGGCTGCACATCGCCCGTATGCTGCAGCTGAACAGCTGCCATTACCTTATTAAGTCCAAAATTTATGTGCTATGCAAGCCAACGTTAATTTTCTGGCTGGGCGATTTAACGTAATTCGGTGCACCTAATCTGGATAGAAGCCATTGGCTTGATCTTGCACGATCTTCCCGCTTTAAGTTAATATTGAGTCAACGCTAACGTTCATTATAACCGTCTCAGAATCTCATTCATTCATTCGGCCGAGTTTAATTCATTCTGGAAGAAAACCGACGTGTTTTACTAGTTCACAACCAAAAATCCCTACCCATAAATAAGCATTACGACTGCTCTGGCAGTAAAACCAAATTACTAGGCCCTTGTAAAGTCACTCTTAACGCCTGGTAATGCCTTTATCTTGCCGTCGCTGAAATGCAGCGAAATTGAAATATTCGCGTTTTAATCGGCGACGATAAATGCGCCCAGAAATTTCCCCGTGAAAAATGTTTTTGTCCAATTGCCAATTTACTCCCATACAGTTCAATTTTCCATCAGTTTATTAAAAAATGTCACAAGCCGATCAAGACCTAGTGTGTGCGCCTCACGCACCTGAGGCAGATAGAGACAAACATATACTCCCCACCAGCCTACGCCCAGCGCCTAGTTTACATTATACACTGTTCACAAATTGTAAACGTTACACAAAAGAGAACCAATCGCTTCGAATTTTGAAAACAATGCAAGAAAATTGAGTTTCGCTGAATATTAAGACTCCAGTCGCGGAAACTGCCCATTAGACTTGCGGATTATTTCTAATTGCCCTGGGGGGCTTTAGCAGCCGCTGGAAATAAGGGGTTTTTAGGCAGCATATTGATTTAGCAACATCCTTTATTGTTACTGAACGCAACTGAACGCAATCTGTGCCGCCCCCCAGCAACAAAGACATTATTAACCGCAATTAAAACAATGGAAATTGTCCCATTCACATTCAGATTCCCCGGAGATTATCGTCATAGTCAAATGGGGCACACAATATTGAAATCTACCTACGCAGGCTGCCGTTAAGGGGCTCACATCTTAATACGGCCCCCGTAAATAAGCGAATGTAAAGCTGTTTGAATATCTGGCAATGCAGATGGCTCTAATCGGGGACTTGGCAGATAATGATATAGATCTTGATTAGTTCAAGTCATCTATTCAGGCCAATCGAAAACAGCCGGCAAAATGCCGAATTTGCCTTCAATCGCATTAATCTGCCACCCCTTTGGTAACAAAACGGCACATCGATATAACACCGATCCCGGCTAATAGATTTAAAAGTCCAATCGGATCCGAAGTGCGAATGTTCGAATAATTCACCGGGGCGGATTGGGGGAATGAAGGGCGGAAAGTTCCCCTCATGTTTGTTACACTTAACAAACTGTTCTTGTTGATCCAACAGACTCGATTGCTTCGCTCTGATAACGGTTATTGCAGGCGAAGCCGAAACGTCTGTCTTTTTGCAGCAAAACTGGCAATAAATTATTGAGAGAAGGGAAATTGAAAACAAATTTATTTGCAGAGAGATAAACCAGCGCAATTTAAACATGCGAGCAATTTATTGCAAACAGCCACCGGATATCTATCGGTAGAGCCGGTTTTGGAAATATTTCCAGACCGTTCAATTTATTAGTAGTGTATATCGAAAGCCAATCAGACAAGAAGGGCGCTGCCTGAGCCGCACACCTCCGTTAGTGAGACAGAGACCCCAACACTATTCACCCAGCCGGAGATAAACTGTCACGAAATTGAACAGGTTTGTAAATTTTTGGTGCCCAACCCTATTATTTCTCCTTTATGGTTTCAGCCATCCGAAAGGAAACTCCGCAAAACTAACCCAATTTAGTGCGGAAACAGGCGAAATCTCCGCTTGCATGCCGGTCACGAATGCACTTTTCTGCACAAAAACTTTCATTGGATTTCAGGGTGCCGCTGGATGTTAATAAACAGCAGCTAGAACAAGCGGAAACGTGTAATTTTTGCGGTTTATTAAATAAATGTCTGCTGGCTTTGGCAGTTTTTTCCGAAAGCTTACTTTCCACGAATGAAGCTGGAACTTTTTCAAACTAGTTGTCACATCATTGATTAAAACTAGCAATGGCAATTTTTGATCAGTTTACATGCGCCTGCCGGCGTTGTGACCGAGGGTGCGTTCTAGTCTCACGCACCCACGGTAAAGGGAGACAGACATATACTCGGGCAGTAGTGACTGGCTGTTGCTATACACTGGTCCAAAATTGCACAGTTTTTTTGAGCGAGAACGTTTTTAAAAAAATTTAAAATTTTGTGGCTGTAATCGACTGGCCAGGGGTGATAATGAGCCACAACAAGCAAAAGCGTTTTCGCGAAATGATAAATCTCAACTTCACAAGGGTGACAATGTGCGCCCCCCGAGAGGGTCGCTTGGAAAATAAAAACCACTTGACTAACTCAATGTAACCCTAGAGGTTGGGGCCGACCTTTTTAAACAACCCTTAATGCAGCAGTTAATGGCCCTTGCCGTCAGCTTGCGGATAAGTATACTGATGATGTAAGGGAGTGTCGGATTTCTCCCAACACCTGATACCTTTCGAGTGGTGCAAGGGAGAGGTGGAGCGCTCGTTCCATTGCCAACATGGATAAATCGCTGGAGAGGGGAGGAAAAAATGAAAATGTCCTGGACGACTAGCCGGCGCATTAATCTGGCAGGGCGTTTCAAAATGATGCATGGGTCATTTTTCAACCAGCTGGGTTTAACTAATTTTGTTGGAAGTTGTTGAAGATCCTCTAAACTTCCTCAACTGCGCCCATTAACATGAGATGGGACATGAGCACTTAGGCAGGCAAGTTGTGCGGTTTTCCTCACAATCTCCGCCATTCGTTTGCCGGAATTCCCTCGGGCTTTCAGATGCATAAACTTCCTTTACATGCATCCCCCTTCGGGGGATTTTAAGAAAACTGCGGTAAAGATTAGAACAAGTTCCTGGTGCAAACCGCCAAGTTTCTAACAATGTTCACTAGGAATTCTTCTCCTGTCCAAGAGCAAGTTTTCCCACAAAATACTTACTTTGAAGAACAAGGAAAACAAGCAACAAACTGGTAGAAACTAGCATGGTTCCCACCCAACTTACAGTCACATGATCAACTTCACTCGAACATTAAAGAAGAGATCAACACACGCAACTTCATGGAGCGCAAGTGGATTTTACGTGATAAATGGGCGCAATTTAGGAGCCCCGGGGCGCAAACTGACCCCGCTCGAATGCCGGCAGCGAACTAGGCAATGAATGCGAGCGTTGAATTTCCAGCCTCGAATTTCGCACGCATGCCCTGGAAAAACTGGATTTTGGCAAAAAACCCTCATCCAAGTGGGCTCGGTGGTACGCCCAGATAAACTCAAATCACATCGTGTCGCTATTTTTTTAAGTGCGAAAAAACTGACTGGCACACTTCAGCTTTCCTGCACGCTTTTTGGGCCAAGGGCCTCCAGTCGGAGTGAATCGACTGCGTTTGTCCTTTGCGCACCCACTGCTTAGAGCAGCTACGATCTGATCCGGGCTTTCGCTCCGCTACACCGCTGAAAAATTGAAGGAATTGCTGTTTGGCTTTTGTGACATCCACCGGAGATTTTCTTGGGATTTTAGCCAATCAGTAGGCAGTTTTTAATAAAATACTGCCCTTATTGGGAGCAACTTTATTCATATTCATCCAACCGGGCATGAAGTGCCTGGGGCACGAGCGACAAATTAAATTAACATTACCGAAGTTCGTCATTTTTCCGCATTTTCGTGTGTGCTTTTCGCATTTTGTACGTCGCCTAAATGTGAAGTGAATCGATGTGCAAACTCAATTCAATTTTAAATGTTGCCCTAATTCGATTGCTTTTACAAATTGTTGCAAATTTTGCGATTTCCGATTAATGGGATTTAGTTTAGTTAACTCTTTCACTCCCCCAATCCGTTTTTCGGCTTCAAATAAAGCGTAAATTGCCTGATGGAATGGGGTTTTTAAACCGTTCAATTTTTGATGACGTTTAGCAGCTAATCGAGAGCAGTTCCGCTATGTCTGTCTCTTTTCCACCAATGGTTCAGATTCATTGCCAACCACGCTCAGGTCTGGTTAGGGCATAAACTGCGGAAAAATTGAAGAGTGTCCAGGTAAATAATTGAGATGGTTTACGCTAAAGTGGGTTGGCAGTGGCACGTCACAACAGAGCTTCGTGACAAGTCTATAACTCACAAAGGGTTTCCAGCACGTCGCTAACGCTCCGTCTAACATATCCTGGAAATGGTGCGGATTTCTGGAAATCCATCAGGCTGAACAATCGCCGACTGTAGTCAAAGCATGCGAATGGAATGTTAATCGCTCCTAATGAATCTACTGTTTAATTGGTTTCCGACTGGATGAAGGCGTGATGGTTTTTCCATTGCTCAGATATAGAATTAAGCGCCATCTGAAGTATGTCTGAAGTGCATGAAAATCGGTCAGGCCGAAATTATTTATAGACCGAAGCCCCAATATGTAAGTTATAAACGGGGGCCAGTGTTTTATCGCCCCTACATGATAAGGGCAAATTTTATTACGGCCCGTATAAAATGTCTGCAAAACAGCATAAATATGAATTTTATATGCCCGGTTGCTGAAAGCGGGTTTAGGGCCTCTTAACCCACTATATCACCGATAGATCTTGCGGATATGGATTTGGTTTTTTTCTCCTTTAAAATTGATGGAGAGGATAAAATGCTTCAATTTTTGAGCAGTTTTCCCACTCAAGCCCACCTGAGCAGGATGGCGCTGATTCATCCACAAGTGGGAGGGAGATGGGCAAGGCCCAGACCTACGGGTTATACACTCATGCCATATTGAAGTGTTTTTTGATGAAACCAGAATTCCAATGACATAAATATTTCATCGGAGCAGAATGAAATTTCTATTACGTCATCGGGGATATTAAAGTCGATCTATCACCCCTCGAGTCGATCGACATTTGGTGCAAATAGAATTAATGGTCGGTCCTTTTTAGCCGATGAAAACAAAAGGACAAAAACTGGACATCCCGCTCGAAGCGTATTGATCTTTCATAATTCGAAATTATGCTCTCGACAAGCTGGACCAGAAAGCAAAACGTTGATTTATATTTCTTCGGTCAGTGGCGTGCTCTGGATCAACGAGTAAACGCGAAATCTACCCCGCAGTGTCAATATATTCCACTCACTCTGTGTGATTACACAAAGGAAGTTTGTGCCTGAAGTTGGCAAAGATTTGCCACCGTTCCCGGAAAACTCGTTGCCTCGCATATGCATCGGAACTTTTCAGCAGCTTAAAACTTACCGAACGGCTGTTTTTTGCAAATCTGAACACCGATTGAGCTGAAACTGCTTTAACTTTCGAACAATAAATGTCCCGTGGAGGATTTACGGC